CTAGGGCTGGTGAAATGGCTCAGTGGTCTAAAGCACCTATTTAGAACAAGCTTAGCAAAGCACAGGAACCGCGGTTCAATCCCCCAGCACCACATGCCAGCCAGCCCCGCCCCTGGTGGGCTGAGCTGGTCACACACACACACACACACACACACATAAATAAATAAAATTTAAAAAAAAAAAACAAATAAATAACCTAATGCTAGACCTCAAAATCCTACAAAAAGAACAAGTCAAGCCCAAAGTTTGTACGAGGGAGAAAATTATAAAGATGACAGCAGAAACTGATACACTTGAGAGTAAGAAAACAATACAAAGAATCAATAAATTGAAGAATTGGTTTTTTGAAACAGATAAAATTAACAAAAGCCTAACCAACCTTATCTTAAAAGAAAAAAACACTGAAATTTATGCAATTAGGAATGAGAAGGGCAAAGATTATCAATACTTACTTTAAAAATCTATACTCAGATAATATGGGAAGCACAGCAGAAATGGGTGATCCCTAGATACACATGAATTAACAAAACCTGAGTCAAGAAGATAGAAAAATTCTGAATGACCCAAAATGGTCAATGAAATTGAAGACATAATCAAAATTGAAGACTATCATCAAAAGTACAAGTGGATTCACTGCTTGAATTTTATAAGAAATTTAGAGAAGACGTTGTACCACTACTCCTCAAATTCTTTAATCAATTTGAAAAGCAGGCAACACTCCCAAATTAATTCCTGGAAGCAAGCATTGTACTAATACCAAAACTAGAGAAAGATCCAACCAAAAATAGAACTATAGGTCAAACTCCCTAATGAACATAAACACAAAAATCCTCAAGAAGATACTGGCAAATGTAGCAAATCATCAAGAAGATTATTCACCATAACTAAAGAGGATTCATCCAATAGTTTAACATACACAGATCAATAAATGTAATACACCATATCAACAAAACAAAGAACAAAAATCACATGATCATCTCAATATATGTAGAAAAAACAATTGACAAAGTCTCAACATCCATTCATCATAAAAATTCTACAGAAAATTAGAATACATGATCTTTATCTCAATCCAATAAAAGCCATGTATGACAAACCAACACCCAACATCATACTGAATAGACAAAAACTGAAAGTTTTCATTCTAAAATCAGAAACAAGACAAAGATGTCCACTATTACCACTCCTACTCAATATAGTTCTCAAAACATTAGCCAAAGCAATTAGACAAGAGAAGGAAAATGAATAAAAATAGGAAATGAAGAAGTTAAATTATCATTAGTTGCAGGTGGCATGATACTTTACATAGAAGACCCAAAAAACTCCATCAAAAGACTTCTAGATTTAACAATGAAATTCAGTAGTGTGGATACAAAATCAACATTCAAAAATTATTAGCATTCCTGTACACAAATACACTCACTGAGAGAGAAATTCAGGAAACCTTTTACGATAGAATCCAAAAAAATGAAATACCTAGGGAAAAAAATCTAACAAAGGAATTAAAATATTTTTACATTGATAACTTCACTACTCTGAAAAATGGAGATTAAAGAAAATACTAGAGGGGCTGGTGAGATGGCTCAGTGGTCTAAAGCACCTACTTAGTACAAGCTAAGCTAAGCTAAGCAAAAACACAGGGACTGCGGTTCAATCCCCCAGCACCACATGCCAGCCAGCCCCGCCCCCCTGGTGGGCTGAGCTGGCCACACACACACACCCACACAC